GGAATGGCTAGCGTGAAAGACATGCCCTTATTGCAAGACGGTCCACCACCAGGCGGTTTTGCACCGGTTCGATTCGCTCGCCGGATCCCTAACACTGGTCCAAGTGCTATGGCTATTTTCCTTACTGCTTTTGGAGTTTTCTCTTGGGGTATGTACCAAGTCGGCGTAGGAAATAAGAAGCGAAGGTATGAATCGAATTTTTTTAGTTTATGAGAAGAAAATTAATTTGGGTGTGTTTATTTTGGTTTGATTTGATCTGGGTATGTGTTGATTTTTTGTTGTTTCTGAAAAAGTTGGTTCCTTTTTTTTTTGGGATGATGTGGGTGATAGCTAATTGTGATTCCTGGTAAATCCTAAAATGTTACTGAATTTGTGTGCTTTGGTTGAGTTGAGCTGATTAAGAATTCGAGCTTCTTGCTCTTTTTCTTTTAGTTAATTTGATGAAGGTAGGTGAAGTTTGACACTTCATCTGAATTGGCAAGTGGAATTAGATTGAAGAAAAGGTTTCTAAAACGTGTGGATTCTGATTCTGATGTAAGGTTGTGATTCATGATGAGCAAAAGCCCGAGTTTTGAGTTTAAGAATGGAAAGTGGTAGACTTGAAACCAGTCCTTGAGCAAGGGTGTTGATCTCTGGTGATGAGTGTACACTTCAGCAGAAATGCGATGACTCTGTGAAAAAGTATATCTTGAGTAGGTTACTTTTACGTGTTAGTACAAATTGGTCTTGGTTTATTACTTTCTATTAAGATATGCGTCCATCATTGATAATCTTGTCATTTGTTGACTTGAAGCAAGTGTTTGCTACTTTAAGAAGTTGTTTCTTTGCACCTATGGACGTCCCGTCAGCAGCAGAACTGCTTCAGTTAGAGGAGAACCAGAATGTTTATTTTGCTGGTTGTCTGATTGTGAAATAAAAGCTAGTACCCAATGTGGCATGCTGGCTGTGATTGTTTCTCATACTTCCAAAATCATCGAAATCAGGATCCTTTCACAGTAGATAGAAAAGTTTGCTCCAAATGGAAGGGGCATTCTGGATATCCGAACTTCTGAGTTGTTTTCGTTAAGTTCAATAGAATGTATTATCCCCTTAACATATTCCAGTGCTTTTGAAGCTGCTTGAGATGGAAACACCAGTTAACAGATTTGTATCTGGTAAGCAATAATAGATCATCAAACTAAATGTATTCCATCCTTTCTAAGGGACAGACTCCAGCAATTGTCCTGGTGCTTGCAGTGACTGTAGATCTTATAGATATGAATGAATTTTAATGAGGATTCCTCTGCTAATAGGAAAGCCTTTAAGGTATTGCGTATGTCAGTTTTCATGTTATGGCCCGTTTGAGTTGTGTATCTTCTGTAAGAAGAATATTTGGTAAACTGCCTAGAGTAGTCAGAAATCTGATGAATCATCTTTTTGAATGATAGGTTTCCTCGAAAATGGAATTTAAGATGGAGTGAAAGATAATGGAGTTTATAGTTAGCAGGATATTTAAGCTGGTTGGAGGGTAGACTGTAGATGGGTGGGGACGCATAGTCCCTGGAGTCTTAAACCTGTTGGCCAACCAAAGTCGGAATAGAATCCCACAGGACATTTCTCTGACGTAGGAAAAAAGAAGAAGAAATAGTGCAGGATATTATTTTAAGATCTAGCCAATTGTGACTGTCTTGATGATCTGGTGAACTGTCATCGTGTAGTTATTGCAAACCCTTGGACCTTTGGATGGAGATATTGGGAATGTATAATCCTAAGAGAAGTTTTCATTAACAATAAAAAAAATGAAGTTGTCTTCATTAGTTATCTCTTTCTTATAATTCATTTGGCTACACCATAAAGATTTATCTCGTGGAGATGATAATGCCTTTAAATTCAATGGCTTGAAAGTGAGGAAAGTCGTCATCAAGAATCCAATGTCCAAAGCCAGAGCTTTACTGATTCTCATGTCCAACCTGAAAAGTTTTTCTCACTCATAGAATCCGAACTCAGATCATGAAGAAGAGACTAAGAGAAGGAAGGTGTGAAGACTCAAAACACAGAGCCGCCATAGAGGCATAGACCAAATAAGTCCTAGAAAAGAGTTTGATGCTAGAATTGGTTAGAGTCACAGCCAAGCAAGTATACTCTTTTCTAGCATGGTTTTATGGCATCCTCAAGTGAAAGACAGAGACAGCTCAGTCCTCAAGGTCTATGAAACTCAGTGATTATGAAAGTATTATTAGGTCCCCAGAATAGCTAGCAAACCAAGACTCCTGAAACTGCCAGTTTTTTTTCATCAGCTTGAAAATTTATTTGTCTGCATTTTTTGGTTTGGGGGTGGCGGTGGGGTGGGAGGATAGGTGTCACCAGTTTACAAATCTTCAACTGTAGAGGGTTGTGATTGTCACCAATAACTATAGTACTAGTGAATCTTCTTATGTGCTCCCCCCTTTTTCTTTCTATACTGTGAGAATCAATTAGTAAATTAATGATCTTAATCTCCTTGAAATACAAAAGATAATCTCTTAGCATAGTGTCGTACTTCCCATGTTAAAGTTAGCTTTTAGCTATGATCAATTTTGCAGTTGATATTCCATCAGAACACATGTAGTTTCTTTCATTCCAAACAACCTGAAAAATGACTGCTGGAATCATTTTCCAGATCTTTTTTGATGGCTTTGTCAACTGTCTAAAAAATGCAGTTGATATAGGCTTACTTGATGGCTGGGGCATGATCCAAAATAAGCCAAAATGGAGAGGGATTAAACTACACAATTTATTTGGAATTCACATTCTTTCTTTTTATATTTGGATAAATCACATATAGTTCAGATATTCCATAAACATGAACATAGAATAACCAGCTGGGGGAATTCTTCTTAGAAATAATTATCAGCTAAGATATTCACATCTCTGGTTAGCCAGAAGTATCAATTGGATCTATGGAATTGGCTTTATCCTGTGTCATATAATAATCTGTGATATTTCCAACAAAGGGATGTTGGTAATTAGTGAAATCACAATGAACAATTCACCTATGATATTGTTAATGATTCAAATCAGCATGCATGTCATTCCTTCTACATGTTTGAAAATCTATTTTGTGTTGCCTGCTTTTTCTCTTTATGTAAACTCATGTTTAAGCATTTATCATATGATTAACTCATAAAAGGATGAAGTTCCACTGCTTGTGGGACTCTGGATGTTGTTTATTTACATTAGTCATCAATTGTTTGGATTGAAGACCTAATATAAATAAATAAAGATGTCTTCACTCTAATAATTTTAAGTTTTGAGATAAGGTAGTCACACAATTCAACTTGGTATTTAGAGCCAAACCTATCCTTGTGTTTAATTACCTAGTGTTAAACTGCCATGTTATTTCATCTATGCTCCAAATGGAGCATGCCCGTGTTAAGCCCCACATGGTTTGGGGGTCTGTGTTCTAATATCTATATATTGTCTTGGTCACTTCTCACCTTACGCATACATTTGTTTGAGGGTGTGGGCTGTTTGTCTTTCTATATGGTAGTGGAGTATTTTCAATTCATGAGCTAACTTTTGGATTTGAAATAGTCCCAAGGTCCATTTCACTTGAGCATAATATCAGGGCTAGATGCATCAGTGATGGTGTTTTAACCAATGTTGGATCATTATTTGTTATCCATGCTCTGAAAACTTAGGAGTCAGAGTTCTCTGATATCGGGGTTCTTGGAGGAGCTTGGAGAAGTTGTTTGATCTGAGGACATACCTAAAACTCCCTTCTTATGTTTTGGAATATGTGCACTGGCTGACACCTCCATAGTTCCCAAAACCACCGTCAATCTCAAACTTCTTTAGAAGAAGTTCTGATAATATTTTCATTATGTAGGGTGATAAAGGAAGAAAAATATGCTGCCCGAAGGGCTATCTTGCCCATGCTTCAAGCTGAAGAAGATGAAAGGTGAGCCTTCTTGAATTTGTTTCCATTCCATGCTCCTGTTTATTTATTTTAGTTTGAACTTGTTATAATTTATTCTACTTTTTTTTTTTTTTTTTTTGCTTATTTAGATTTGTTATAGAGTGGAAGAAGTATCTTGAAGAAGAGGCGAGAATCATGAAGGATGTTCCCGGTTGGAAAGTTGGTGAAAGTGTTTACAACTCTGGGAAATGGATGCCACCAGCAACTGGAGAGCTTCGTCCTGATGTCTGGTAAGATGCTGGTAAAGCTTCCAGGACATGCAGCACGAAAAACTGGTTCATGTCAGTGGAGTTCATACTTCCCTTTGGATTTCTTTCCTCATTGGAATAAAATTGTATCTGCAAAATCTGTGCAACATGTTTAAGATGATGTTACAGGATTTGCTTTAACACTATTAGCATTCTCCCTCCTATCTGCATTACGAGTTGGGATTATAAGAGACAATGCAAGTTCATGTTCTCTAATAGTTGATTCAGATCGTTTTAATGAATAGACGTCCTTGTCTCCAATATTTCAATCATCATCTATCTTTTCAAAGTGTTTTATCCAATTACAATATGGAAGTGGCTTTTCCAGTTGCCTTAAACACTAGGAGAAGCCAAATCTAGCAGAAGTTATTGTTGAATGTTTCTGACAAATATTGAGTTATGCTAAAGATTGTTTTCCTAATTATTATCACTTCTTTTTCACTTTCCTTAACAGTAAACTGTCGTATTACTAATTTACATAATCCCATGGTGTTTGTATGGTAAACCTATGCCATGCCAGAGGCAAATAACCTCAACTAACACAGAAAGATGGAATGTCTTTTCTCAAAACAAAACAGGAAGATCAATGGAGGTGATTAAATTCTCTAATATTCTCTATAGATACCCAATTTCAAGGCGATGAATAAATGTGGTTATGGATAATTGCAATATCACCAAACACATAAAGACCATTTCTTTAATAAGTGACTTCTAAATGGACGTTAGGACAAAGTATTAGGCAAACATTCACAGTCGAATTAATTCATGAACACTGCTAAGCTAAGCCCCAAGCTCTCATGAACAGTTGTAGAAAGTAGCAACAATTAAAACTTGGAAGACTTATTAGTATCAACAAAATGTACTTTACAAAAGGCCTGGTAGTCTTTCCATTCACAGCCTTACAATTATTCAAACAAACACAAACTCCATCGAAAGACAAAACAAACATTTCCATAGTTTGGCTTCAAAGCACATACTACTACTGCATAAGTAGCAGAGGCTTAGTGAAGTAGAAACAAAGGTCCAGTCCCATCTTTTTTATCAGCATCTGGTATGCTCCTGTAGGTACAGAAGTTGTTAGAGATCTCCCAGCTCCAATCTTCCTTCCTTGTCACATACATCGGCGGCCAACGGTTTATCCTCACATAGTGTGCTCTTATTTTCCCATCTGCAAGCACGCTAGTTACTATGGAGTAGCAAGACTCATGACCACCCCATATCTTGTCATCTGGTTCTGCAGTCTGACTTCCATCTGGAAGGAAATAACGGCGCAGGGGACGTCCTGTTCCGTTCCAGTAGGGATCGAGCATTCGCCAATACTCAGGAGCCGCCTAAGGAGTCGTCGACAGAAGTAATATAGGTTGCAGTTATACAACGATTATGTTTATCTATTTTATCCTATGACGGAAACTAGGGAAAGGAAAAGAGGGAAATATTTTCTCCTTCACTTCCTTTTTTCACTCTTGTCAAACCAAAAAATTCAATGACCTTCTCTTCCTTTCTCTCGTTTCCAATAAAAGATTTATTGATTCAAGAGGCATTAAACTGTGAAGAAATAACAAGCAAAGGCAGCAGCAAGGGTGGTTCAAATAGCACTTACAGGAGACAGAACCAAGCAAACCGTTTTCAATTTGGCAGAAGCTCTATGAAACTGACCAGTGACATCAATAAAACCAGTAAATTTTTGGAAGAACAAAAGGTTGAACATAATGAACAAGAAATAAGGCAAGATATTATGCATTCTTACCAACCACTTGCAAAGCTACACAAAGTGACCGATCCCTCAAAAAATTTCGGACGTTTTAACTTCAATCGGACAGATTTGAAGTGTTCTCAAGCACGTACAAACTCTACCTACTCAATTTGGTGCGCGCTGCAGCCATGCATGATTTCTATGGGTGGATAATGCCTATTCATGGACTTCAAATTGGTAAGTAAATCAAAGTTAGACTTGGAAAGTAGAAATATGAAATAGGCACTTCAGCTCATACCTCGGTGAAATGGAACTCCCACACGTGATCATATAAATCCTCCTTTCTTATTCGCTTCTAAGACATATAATATATGAAAAAGTAACGTTAGACAAATCAAAAGAAAAGGGTAACAGATTTTGTATGTGCAAGTGCTAAGGAGAGAGTTCCAATACTCACACGTTTACCATCCATTATGGACAGTGAGTAAACTGCCAACTTCGATAAATCATTGACTTTTGCTATCCGAGGTAAATGTGTTTTGCCTTGCCATAATTCTTCACACTACAAAGAGATGCCAAGAAAGAGATCATTGATCTGCTTGTAAATAAATGTGCACGTGACTTCATCTATTCATATTTAGCTTTTTACTGTTGTTTACTCGCTAGAGCAGGATGGCAGACGATGTCATTTTACAAAGGATGAACTCTGAATTATTAACATGTAGTGAAAGGAGACAACAAATAGTGAGCAAAGGGAACAACAAATACTGAGCAAAACTCACACCTTTATGGAACTGTTGATGACTCCAAGAAAAAGTATTACAATTGTATAGCATATTGTATCCCAAGTTACGATTTTTTTTCTCTTTATTTTCTTCATTAATGGTGTCCGGGTCACATGCACCTTGACTATTCCATAGTGCAGCCTGTCCAACTCACAAGTATAAGTCACCATGGTAGTCCTACCACTATGACTTATGTAGATGGACCCACAAGTGCTGTTATAACTAAAGATTGAAACCTTGGATTTCCACGTTTTTAATCCCAGACCTCAACCTACTTTTTCAACCCCTAGAAAGTATCTTACTTTCCTTTTAGGCTGATTGTTGGCGAGGAGGGTTTCAAACTCCCAACACCCTGGTTGCTCATAGCCGTTAATTTTCTAAGCTTTCAGAAGGCCATACTCCACACTATGGTTCATAGCCATTAATCTTATAGGACGACAAGGTAATCCTACCATCAAGGCTGAAGTAGATGGACTCACATCAAGTGTTATAGTAGAGGTTGAAACCTGGGATTTCCACATTGGTAATCCCTTCCTCGACCCAAATTTTCAAATCTCAGAAAAAAGGTACTTCTCTTAGGCCGGTTGTTGATGAGAAGGGGTTCAAACTCCCAACACTGTGGTTCATAGACATTAGTCTTCTATGCTTTCAGAAGGCCGTATTCCACAATCAATTGGTTAGAGTCGTCGAGTGTATTGACATAGTTTTCCTCAACGTCCCAAGATCCCTTCTTCCATAGATTCCCTTGAAATGCTAACTGGTTAGTACTCTTTAAGTCCACTACCTAATTAGCAGTTTGTTTGCAAGTCATTTGCTTTCAATTCTGTCATTAAGCTTTACATCTAAGACTACTAAGCCTATGGTGGGTGGTCAGTGGTACTCCTGGAATAACCTCACAGTCCTGAAATGTAGTTTCTAGCACATCTCTATTTGAGTAAGGTTACCTCCACTTTTATAAGTTATTACCTGATAATTTCTCTTTTTTAAAGCATGTGTAAAGGATGAAAATTCCTTTTGAGGTGGTTGATTTTTTAAAGATAACATAGCATAGCTTTTAGCAAAGAGCGCGCAATGTGTATTCTTAAAAGGGCTAAACTCCAGATCAAATGGGCAAGAAGATACACAAAGACAATGTGCTTTTTACATAATTTATAGTCTCTAAGGGGAGACGGTAAAATTGAAGAAGATCCAATGTTCTTCATAGGAAAGGAAGATTCAATTTAAGAATAATCCCTGAAGAATATATGTTCCAGTACCTGGTAAAGCAATTAAGAGCAAGAAACATAAGAGACAATTGATCTTCAACAATTTATCATCTTCCCAACAAACCAACTAGAAATGTTCATAGAGGACCTGCAAGCAAAAATTGACCCAACAATAATGTAACTGTTAGCAGTTAGCTACTCCTAAACCAACAACAGCAACAACAATAACATACCCAGTGTAATCCCACTTGGGGTTGGGGGTGTAGAGTGTATGCAGACCTTACCCCTATCTTAAGAGGTAGAGAGGTTGTTTCCAATAAAACATTTCAAAGCAGGTTAAAAAAAATAGCGGAGGTGAAGAAACTATAGCAAAATATTACAAAAAGCATGAAAAAACATTTTGAAAAAAAAGGAACAGTAACTAAACAAACAATACAATAATCGAGTACATGAAAACTACAGGAGTAATAGCACAGCAGGTAAGTGCCCAAGAAATTTTATACTAACTATTTCCATTACTGTCACCCTTAAGTATTGCATTATGTGTTATAACATAGTAAAAGTTCTATATACCAATTTTGATAAATAAGTAGTAATGCATAACAAATTTGCAACTGAGGAACAATTTCGCCAATAAAACCATATAACAAAGCAAACACTATTGTAGTAACAAAGTTTTGACATGAAATGAACCCTAATTTACCAAAACTAAACTTTGACGACTCAACTAAATGAAAGTTCAAACCTTGGAGCTCCAAATCTTATCAGAAGAAGCAATACCCCTCCACCCACAAGATACAAGGAGACACAGTGCCACGCTGCGTGCGTCAAGACAGCTCAAAATCATCAACATAATATCTGACCCAAGAACAACTAATGGATCATTCAACCGACCCATTTCACAAATTCTCCTTTTCTTCTTCCCTTTTTCTGCAAACCCATCTTCCAAGATTCCACCTTTATCATCTTCAACCCCAAAACAGGGCAACCCACATAACCCATCTTCAACCCCAGAACAGGGCAACCCAGAAAACTCATCTTCCAAGATTTCACCTTTATCATCTTCAACCCCAAAACATGGCAACCTAGATAACCCATCTTCAACCTCAGAATAGGGCAACCCAGAAAACCCATCTTTGAGTTCTTCAGTACTCCTGGTGTTCTTCTTTGGGTTGTTGTTATGATCAAACTCACAGGTTCTGGTTTCTGTCATTGGAAGTAATCAGTAAAAGGGTGTCCAGAAAATCAAGAATCTTGAGCTGATCACTTCTCAAAGATAAAAGTTGATTTTATAAGGCTGAAGGCGGTGGCCGGCGGGGTTTGGGTTTTACCGGGGAGGGAGTTAGTTGTAAAAGAGCGCACTACTCAAATGTTCTGGTACTCTCTTTTTTTCTTCTTTTTTCTTTTCAACATCGGAGTTAAACAATCAATCTTGGGTTGCACGTCCACCTGCTCTAATCAACTTGGAGCTCAACAATCAATCTTGAGTCGCACGTCAATATGTTTTAATCAACTTGAGGTGAGGTGTTAGTGTCAAATGTAACGTCATGTACTCAGTAAGCTAAAAATATGTCATATCGTGTGTCTGTGTCTATTTTAACTTTGCCCCATTTTATCCTAGTTCTTCTTTAACCTACTTCTACATCTCCTAAATATGCTATAATCAACCATTCACACATTTTTACTAGTGCATTTGCACATCTCTTCTTCAAATGTCTAAATCATCTCAACCTCGTTTTCTCATTCGTAGGAGGACATTTCTCTCCTAGTATACCCACATCCATTTGATCGCATCATTGTCTTCTGAACGTGTGGGTTCTTGACTGGTCAACTCTTTACCTACTAAAACAATGTACATAGATTTAACTACCACTTTATAAAACTTATCTTTAAGTGTTGATGACACATTCTTATCACATAATACCTTAAACACGAACCTTCATTTACTATTAAATGAAGGAACAAATATGATAAATTTCACATACTAAAGGGATTTTTTTTTAAAAAAAATCATTTATTTTTAATCAGTAATATTTTACTTATGCACATTTTTTTAGAAATAAAAAAATAATAATATTCATTGACACAATAAACACCTACAAAACGTGTACGTAATATAGATGAGGAAAACATCAATTCATAATATATTTGCATTAGATATTAATTAAGAAAGTCCACATTTAAAATTAGGTAAAATTATTTGCTAATGAACATCTCTATTTCAAAGTCTTCATTGTAAATTAGCAAAAATCATTTAAGTAAACATTTCTACACTACACTAAAGATAATATTTAACGGCAATTAATCATTAACATTTAATAGTAATAGTTTAATTACTGCTAAATATATTTTTTAAACCCAATTACTAGTGACCAGGGGCAGACTCACCCTTAGCCGAGGAATGTCAAGCGACACCCCTTCGTCAGAAAATTACATTGTATATGGAGGTCAAATTTTGGTTTAATAAATATATATATACAAGTATTGACACCTCTTGACGCAAATTAAATATATAGTCTAATGGTTAAGACGTTAGGAAAATTTCTTGAGATTATGTGTTAAAGTCCTACAAGGCTCATAATTATATTTTTTATTACAACCATTGACACCCCTTTAATGGTCATCCTAGCTATTTTCTTATAGTATTATCTCAAATAGCCCACATTTAAAATTAGCAATAATTATTTAATAAGCATCCCTATCTAAATTGTTCATAGTGCTATCTCAAAGTCCACATTTTAAATTAGCAAAAAATATTTAATAAACATTTCCATCTCAATCATCTAACCATGGTACATACCAACTATATAAGTAAAAAAAAAACTAGTAGAAAACATATACTAATTCACTAGACAAATATATAAAAATTTCACCATGGCCAAAGTCATAATACTTTCACTAGTAGTCATATTAACTATTCTCGTTCATACTGCAAATTCTCTCCCCCTTACCGCTGGATATACGGTTCACATCCTCGATATGCTTCCAAATAACGATACTATCTTAAAATTTCGTTGTCAATCTAAAGATGACGATCTTGGAGACCGTTCCTTAACGTAGGTGGTGAATTTAATTTTTCATTCCATTGGCATGCATTTGGTGGTACTGTTTTTATTGTCACTTTTATTGGGGTCCAAAGCAACAAACATTTGATATTGTTAACTTTGATATTAGCAATGGATGTGAAAGAACAGATATAGTTACAAATCATTATGATTGTTTTTGGATGGTACAAGGTGATGGATTTTATTTTGCAGGTCATAATTCTCCTCCAGCGTATGTTAAAAAACATGTTTGGAATTAATAACGATAAGAAAAAGTTTTATGATTAATATTAATAAAATATCGAAGTATTAAACAATGCTTTCGCTTTTTTGTTTGTTTGTTTATAATGACTGAATGAGGTTGATCTAAACGTCAAATGATCACAACACTTCATTATAGCAGTTATGAAATTTTCAGATAAATGTTGTTGATATAATGAGATTTGATGTATAACAACAATAACAAACAACATAAAGGTCTGAAAAATATCTCAACTTTGATCGGATTTGCTGTTGCGATACTAAACTTTCTTAAAGGACCTATTACCTCCCTAGACTATTTAATACCGTATTTTTTACCCCTGAACTATTTAATAGTGTATTTTAAAGGTATATATGTGCCCACGTGGACACATTACTATTTATAATTTTGCATTATTTTTTATGTCCACATGGGCAAATATATATGTTTAAAATACGGTATTAAATAGTCCAGGGAGGTAATAGATCCTCATGAAAGTTTAGTATCGCAATAGCAAATCCGACCAAAGTTAAGGTATTTTTCAGACCCTTATCCCTAAATAGTATGAAAAAATAAAATATACGCAAATTACCTTATGATTTAATCTTTTTTCTTA